CACACTCTCTCTCTCTCTCTCTCTCTCTCTCTCTCTCTCTCGAGTTGCAGGGCGCCGCTTCTTGGCAGGAAGTCGAATCGTATTTAATTCACCATACGCTTCTCGTTTCCCCGCAAATTCTTCCCTAGCCTATTTATACGCTCGCGCTTATATTTAACTCGCTGCGGAATAGGGAATTATTTTTTCCCCTCTCGAGAGGAGGGGGAAGAATTGGAAGAGGAGACGCGAAGAAGAGCGGTATCCGGTTTATCGGCGATTAAGAACAGGTCGCGATGGTGAACTCTCTCTCTCTCTCTCTCTCTCTCAAGAGAAGGTTGCCAACTGGCAGGCCTCCATTCTTCCTAGTGGCACGGAAACGCTCGAGAGCGGCTTCGAAAGGATTTCCCCCGAGAATTTTCCGGCGCGAAACCCCCCTCTCCTCCCTTTTTACGTTTGTCCATCGACAGACAAATCGATTGCAAATCACATCGGTGGGGCCACCAGCGATAAATCGGATGCGTTGGAAAAACGGCTCGAGCAGCCCGCTCGAGGAATCCCGCGCGTCTGCCCAAACGATCCTCGTGTCGGGGATAAAGAGGAGAGGGAGAGAACGAACGAACGCTAGGAGAAAACGCGAGCGTAGAGTCGCGTGCATGCATGTGCGAAGCTCTAGCGGCCGGTTAGCGTGTGCACGTCTCGGCTTGGAAAGGGGAAGTCGTCGAGAGAACGAGCTGAAAAGAGGAGAGAAGGAGAAGGAGGAGGAGGAGGAGGAGGAGCAGCAGCAGCACCAGCAGCACCATCACAGCAGTGGAGGAGGGTGAGGCGGGTAGGAGGGCTAGAAAAGAGGCGAGCGGGAGGACGGACAAACGGACGGACTCGAGAGGTGCAGCGAACTCTCCCAAGGCCTGCGTACCCCCACCGAGCGTGCAACTGCAACTGCAACTCTCGCGGAGAAGGAGCACGAGAGTCGACGGAGCGTTTGCCCGTCCACAAACACACGTGCGACGCACAACGCGTGCATCAACTCTCCCTCTTTCTCTTTCTTTGGAGTAAAGACCGGTCTACACTGACAGACATTATCTGCCCGCGACGGGCGATTGGGTAACGCCGCGGACTAGGGTGGCTGTCCCAATAACCTAATAACGATACTTTATTTTGTTTTAGGCGAAAATAAAACGTTGGTAATGCGTATACGAGGAGGACAAATTTTATGATTGAATTTTATGATCGTATAGGCAGAGTGGATGTATAGATCGAAAATCGAATCTCCTTGTTAAAAAATGATTGTTTCGTACGTAAGTAAAAGTGGATTCTTCGTTACGATATATTTTCTTGAATTATCCCAACAACTTTCGTAGTTCAAGTTGGAAATAAACTCCTGTCCTAACTGTTTCTTCCATTCATCCGCAGATGTATCAAAATTAAAGGACCGACTGAGAAAACGATATTTCAAACAAAGGCAAATCGAAGAGAGAGAAACTCGTAAGAGATACACGCGTATCCGATCCAATAAGAATAGAAACACATATCGTATTACCATACTAAGCCGTTGTCGAGCGAACAAACGAAATAATGGCGCACAAAAAACCGAAATTGATACATACATACATATATATATATATATACATATACGTAGCACATGCCAGTTTCCATTGACACCGAGCCCCTCCTCAATTGTCCGTCAGTGTGGACCGGGCTTAAGAGAGGACCGACACACGACTCTGTGTGTAAGCGACCAAGGAAACAACCGGACAAGAGGGAGACGGACGGAGGACGAAGAGGAATGGACGGCTAGATCGTGCGCGAGAGAAGCGGCTACCGAGAACACCGACACCTTCCGCGACTCTTATTTTTCACATCCTGCTCACCGGCGACCTATTTTTAAGCCGATGCCTCCCCCCACCCCTCCCCTCGAGTCCGCGGAGGGAAAAAAACCCTTGGGAAAACGGACCGGACGGGAACACCGCTCTCCTCAACCCTACCGGATCTTTGGAACGCGTATAGGTTTCTTCTCCGCTATCTCTTCCCCTCCTGTTTGCTTAGCTAGCCAGTTATCGTCCGCTAAAATGCGTTCCTCAGGAATTCTGCTCCCACTCCCCCCGTGTTTCCGTTTTTCTAGAGTGACAGAACGATGATGCGATACGAAACGATTCTTGTTGTATAGAGTGGAGTAAAGTGGATTGTAAATATATGTATCGTTTTGTTTTTTTTTTTTTTAGGTTGATATGTATATAGATATATATATATATATGGAGAAGAGAAATGATTGTTGTTGAGAATGGCGAACTTTTGGATCTTTAAAAGTTGGAGATAATTCGATTCGATTCGAAACAATGTTAATTTGAATTTATATTTGGATCGCTTTCGAATGAATGCGTTTAACCGAGTGAGTATTAATTAATGATTGAAATTATCGAGTGCAATTATATGCGCTATTGCAACTGAGAAAAAGATTTTCAAAGCTACTCATTGCAAATTTTATTGTGTTCTATAAATTAATATTAATAAGGATGGATATATTATTCGCTTCTTTTATTATCTTATTTATAAGCGATTAGAGGCTCGAAGTGAAATTAAACATTGCGTTATGCATCTCATGATAGAGAGAATGTTCTAAACGCTTCTCCTTGAAACTTTCACTATTCCATCTTTCCAAAATGACTTTGACTCATTTGCAAACTGTTCCATGAGGTATTTAAAGAACTATTTCTCTTTATTTTTTTAATCAATCACGTTACCTTTAATTATTCTTACACATACATGTATAATTGATGATATAACTATCTGATAATCTATCCGAATCTGTCTTTCTCGAATCTCGATGTCTAGGAAAAAAGAGGAAAGAAGACGAGGAAAAAAAAGGAGAAAAAAAAACGATCGACGACGCCACGTTTCAACGCCACGATTCAATTAAATCGTGAGGGGGTTAAGAGCCACAACCGGTAACCGAGGAGTCGGTGACTCCTCGCGGCGATTCCTAGGTATCCTTGAAATCGTATCTCCTCGCTGTATCCTCGTCGCCGTGTTTGCATGCCTGCTCAACCATTGACGTCACAACAGAGTGCAACGGCGCGGCGGAGCCCGACGAACGTCCGACGAATTTCAATCTCTCCCGGAACGATTTCGAACACGTCGCGCATTTCCAAGCGGATAGATGCAGCGAGAGGAAGAGTGGAAAACGCCGCACGCGGGCCACAGGCGAAGAAGGGTGGTTGAGAGAGGAGAGGGGGGGAGGGGCCCAAGTCCTCCCTCCTTCTATCCGTTTCGTTCGAGCAAAAATACGCTTCATTTGTGTCACGGCACAACGCTGCGTCATCCGAGCGCGGTTAAAAGTGACTCAGGTTTTATTCCTGCTTCGAGTTCTAGTTACTACGGCGGCTAGCCGCGCGCGACAGATAGCGCGAATCGATAACACTTATCCTCTGCACGGGTCGAAACAAACCCGAGAACGTTCAACCGGTCAACGAGCTTTATCACACGCGCTCGAGTTCTGGGTCGATCGCTAATCGCACAACGACCATCCGTCCTTTCTCTCGGGGTGCTCTTCCTCGAATGGCAAGCGTTATTTTTTTGGTAAACTCCCTCGTAATAGAATTAGAATTGATTTTCGAACTTTTTCTTCTTCTTCTTTGAAATCATTGGAATAGAAACGTGGGAATATCTGTCTAATTTTAGAAAATTAGTATATATTTATTTATATTTCATCCGTTAACGATTCATTAATGATATGTACGTGTTTGATAATGAAGCTGATTTGTATCTATGTATATATATATATAGTAGAGAATAAGCGACTTGGACAAGGTTAACCGTGCGAGGATCAATCAATCCTGTATGTAATGTGTGGGTATAGTGAATAATACCTGCAACTTTATTAATTTGTTTTTGTATTCTCTATGTATTTAAGAATTATGATATCAAAGCGTTGAAAAATATGTAAAGAGATACATCATGGTTATTCTTTATTGCTACTTTGTCATAAACATAAAGATTTTGACATTAAGGACGTATATTTTTTTCATTCTATCATGGAAATTTGTATTTTAAGATAGTGATAATGAGAAAAATTATTGAACGAGATTCGATTCATATGCACGATAAAATATTGCGAATTATACTGTTAAGGGGAACGATCTGGTGTCGTAATCTAAAAAAAAAAGACGATTGTTTGTCTGTTTTTCGAGGTTGAAATCAAAAGGAAAATCCTCGAAGCAATATTCTCGCGGCGTTTCGAGCTACAATGTGGTATTATCGCCTCGATCCGCGACGATGTTTGTTCGTCGATGTTTCCCTCGTTGGTTGAAAAACTGTGGCGATAAAGTTGTGCCGTTAATTCGAAGATAAACATCGCGACGAGAGTCGAGCTTACGTAATAAAAATTCGCGTGTTGGTTTATTGACTGTATTTTTTTTTTTTTTTGAAAAATACGATCGAGATCGATCTCCGAAAACTCCGATGAAAGTAAAATTTCATTCGTGTCGTTCATCGTGGACTTATTTTTTTGAGCTTGCAGATGGTTGTCTTGAACGTTGGTTGTCTCGACAATTTAATGAAACAATTTTTTGAGAAATTTATGTGAGAAAATAAAGTCGAGGGAATACTCTTGAAATTTTTCGATTTAAATTTCGCGCGAAAAAAAGGAGGAATTTTAAATTATTATATTTATAAATGACACACGATCGTAAATATAATATATCACTGCATGAATAATTAAATATTCATCGTTGCTGTTCACTGATCAATCGATTGAAAAGATTTCGACATGAATTATCGAGTGTCTTCGAGATTCGAGAGTTTTCGAGATTCGAGAAATCGAGCTCGAGTAAAATTACTGATGGAGTCAAATCAATTTTTATTTTTCCAATTATTAAGAATATATTTTAAGAATATATTTGTTTAAAATATATCTTAATTTCAGATTACTAATTCCACCGCCAAATATCATCGTTGCAAGAAAAATCTCCTTTACGTCAAGCATCGGAAAAAAAATATTCCAAACAAGTGCATCGTGAAACGAGGCGAGCAGTGTCCGCCATGATCGGTCCAAAGTGGCACACGACGCGTTTGACGGGCCGATCTTAACGTGGAAATAAACCGATACCGATTCAAACGTGGTGCAAATTGAAAGTGATTCGAACGAGATCACCGACTACCGTGTGTGCATAGACACATCTACACGCATACACACGCGAATCTGTTTAAGGAGATAGTGACAAGTGTGCAGGTAGGCGCTCGCACGAGACGACGTTTCGGGTCGGGAAACGAATCGCTCGCGCGCGTGATCCTCCGTTTTCATTAGTGCACGCACGTGCAACACTCGCTACGTGTTACTTACATACGTGTACACACGCGGGTAAGCGAGCGAGCGAGCAGTTCGTTCGCCACGCTAGCCCTGGCCTAGATAAGCTACTTGGCTTTGCATCGTTGCATCGCTTTAAGCCCGACTCACGCTCGACCGATCTATCGCCGTCCTTTTCCCGCCACTCGGATACGTGCGTCCATGCTTCTCCCTCTGGCATTATCTCTAACATTAACATAAGGTAATAACATACACTTTTTTCGCCTAAAATTTTCTCGCAGTTTGTTGACAATTGATCGTGATGCATCAAATTGTGTAAATATATTTATATATCCTCTCGTAAGCGATCTATTATGATTTTTGTAATTCGTAGAAAAAAGATTAATTGGCAGAGCCTTTTATTTTCAAGATCTTAGTTATTGAATATTTTTATCTCTAAGCTAATGTCTGTAGCTCGTTATAACTCATCATTATCGTACCTTGATATTAAATTGGCACGACAAGTAAAATTAATCAAAAGGGGATTTAAATTTAAATTCGAAAGAAATGATAGAAAAAGAAAATTGTTCGAATCTTATTTCATAATTACGATTTTAATACAACTATAACTATATTGATTGAAAATCATTACAAATGAAATGTTTGCATTAATATTACGATCAATTTTTAATAGATTGAGAGAAAAATTTTCAAATTTATCGCGTATTAAAACATTAAACGAATTGTTATCCTCCTAACTCTGACCGATGTTGTATTATCGATTTTTTTAATTTTCTATTCTTTCGGTTCTTTCAAATCGTTTGGAAAAATACATTGTTTCAACGTGATCAAAGCGCACTTGCTAATTTCCGTGACTGGCTCTCGTGACACCGTTTTCCTCGGTGTTATCGTCTGTATAGTTACGACAGAAATCGATATTCTGTAAATTACATTGCTTCTCCTTTTTTTTTCCTTCCTCGCTGTTTTTTTCCAAACTTTTAGGTAGGTAGAAAGAACTGGATACAGACAAATTGTACTAGAATTGAAGTTAAATTCGAAATTTAAATTTGAATTTCATCCTCTTCTACGATTGACGATTGCATCATTTTTATTAAATATATTTCGAAACGTCTTTCTCTTCAATCAAACCGAAACTTTCTGTTATTTGAATTAAATTTATAGCGACTAAATTATTTTAAAAAATTAAATCGAAGCTTCGAGAAATAAAGTTCAAAATGGGATGGATTTATTATTGTGAAATTATAAATAATTATTGATTTTGATGAATTTTGATGAAATACCTTCATCATCTTTTCAATTTCTAAAATTTTCTAAAATAGGATTACATATTTAAAAAGAATGAAATCATCAACGTATGAAAAAAATATTTCGATAGAAATAAAGATCGAATTTATCTATCGATCCAATTTCTCGATCTGACTCGCACAATTAAATATATATGTATATGTATTGAGCGATGGTTCGAAAAAGGAAGTGTCTTTTTTTAGTCGAAGTAGGTATATAATACCATCATTGGGTATCGAGGATTGATCTCGTTAGAAAGAAGAAATTAAACGATGTAAATTAGTAAGAAGGGGAAACGAAAGGAAGTAAAAAAAAAAAAGAAATCTCGGTCGGACGTAGTAGTAGCTTGAAGGGGATTCCACAGTGAGAAGTCGGCTTAAGGTCGCGTGAATCCGCACACCGCAACAGCGGACAGTGAAACTATGCCGTTTTTTCTCCGGCTCTTTCCTTTTCTTCGAGCGACCAGCTCGAGAGAGAGACCGATTCGCCTTTCCCTCGCAGGCAAATCTACCAGTGGAAGGCCACTTTTCCCGTGGATATGGCTACGAAATCGACATTTTTCACCGAGAGATCCACGAAACCTGGATGCCAAGTTACGTTACGAGGCCTGATTCGATCTAAAACCAGCTCTCGTTCCATGATTTATCATCATTTCAACAGATTTTATGCATTAGATTAACACTTTCTTTTTTTTCAAATCCGTGTCTACTCTTTTAAGAGAATATCCGAAAGTCGAATATAAATATATATTCAAATTTCAAACTCGAATCAATCCAGTATACTCTGTCCGCAAAAAAATTCTT